GTGGGCGCACCATTGCTGGGGCTGGGGCTGCGGTCTCGCTTGAGCGTGCCCAGGCGGCTGCTGGGCTGGCCGCCGCCGTCGGCTGGCATGGGTGGCGCCGGCGGCGCCGCCTCGGGGGCGGTACCGTCCCGGTGGTGGTGGTGGTGGTGGTGGTGGTGGCGGGGCTGGGGAGGGTCAGCGGTGATTTGCGCCAGGGCTGGGCCGGAGGATGGGACCAGAGATTCAAGGGAGGCCGCATGGATCATGCCGCCGCTGCCACCAGCCTGTGCCGGCGCGCCGCCGGGCGCCGCCGCCGCCGCCGGCGTGGGCTGCTCCTGCGTGCCTCCGCTGCCGTCGCTGGCCGCCAGTGGGCCAAAGGCGCCGGCCGCGCCGGCGTGTGGGAGCGCGGTGCATGTGCCGCCTGGGGTGCCGCTGGGCGGCGCTCCCAGCTCCTGCTGCAGCTGCTGGGCGGCGGAGGTGCCGCGGTCGCACCCCGGCTGCGGCACCAGCAGCAGCGGAGAGCTGGAGCGAGGCTCCTCCTCTACTCCGGGCTCCAGCTGGCTGCTGGCCGGCGTGCCGGGAGTGCTGCTGCCGCTGCGGCCGCCGCCGCCGCTGCCCGGCTGCCAGCGCGGGCGCTTTGCAGCGGCCGCGGTGCCCTCCTGCCCCGCCCGCAGGCGCTTGAGGGCCACCTGCTGCTGCTGCTGGAGGGTCACTGCTGCTGCCGCCGCCTGGGCCGCGCGGCGAGCGCCGCGCGTGCCGCCCCTCCCAGGCGTGGCGCCGGCCTCCACCGCATTCGCTTGCATACGCTGTGGGCTGCGCGTGGGGCTAATTTGGTGCGTGTCGGTCCGCCAATGCGGTCAAGGGGAGAAGGGCGCGGGTGTCGTCCTGCGGGGGAGCGGCAAGGGGGTCGGTTGTGGCCGGGCGCCTGCCACATGCGACTGATGCTGCCCTGGAAGCGTGTGCGGCTGCCCAGCAGGGCGTGGCGGAAGCCTGGGTGGAGAGCGCAGGTTCATACCTGTGGTGCATATGGTGTGGTCCAATGGGGTGCTTGTAGGTGGGTGGGTGCACTCTGGGGGTTTTAATGATGGTTTTGGGAGCGTTTGGAGGCGGCATGGCCGCCACTGCATCATCGGCCCTGGTGGCCACAAACGACAGTGCCGCTCCGCTGGCCGTCGTATCTTCGCAGGAGAGACCGCGCCGAGGGCCCACGTTGGCTCCTACACACATCTACTGCCGCGATTCCGCTGCCACCGCGAAAAATTACCGCTGCCGCAGCCACCGCCGCACCCTGGCTGCACGCGCCGCCGCCGCCGCCGCCCCATGTTCTTAGCAGTGCGTTTGAAATCAAATGCACATGCTAGCAGCGCTCCCTGTAAGAGTTATGCTTCTCCGGAACATAAGCTAGCACCTTGCTCAAATCTCAGACAGCTTTCACGTGGCGACTGATGTGCCAGCCAGCTCTGGGCCGCTGCTGCCTCGCCTGTGCTGTGGGCAACAATGGCACAGCTGACCAGCCAGCAGCGTGGGCTGAGACGGCTGCATCCTGTTGCAGTGCTGCCATCATCTCAGGCGATGTGCACGGTTGACTGATATGCCAGTGCCGCATGGGGCCTGTGTGGCGCCTCGCTGGCATGGCAAAAATTGAGGTCATGCCTCTGAGGCCTTTGGCTGCGCCCCAAATTCGATTGATCAACGCCAAAAGACTTGTGAGTCCCAGCGCCCCGTGTCAACATGGGCTTGTTTGGAGGGCTGCCCGCTCCCACTAAGCGCCCCGCAGAAGGCCCGGCCGCGGATGTAGATCAGCGCGGCAAGACGGCCAGGCTCGAGGCGTCAGGTGCACACAGCCTCTCTCTGGAAGCCCCGCCCGACGCCTGCGTGGCGTTGCCGACGGCGCACAGAGCCAGCAGCGTCCGGTGTTGGGTCCAATTGCTCGCGGAGAGTGCTCCGACCACCGGCTGCCGCCGCCGCCGCCTGCGCAGGTCTGCCCGCCGAGCCGAGCGTCACAGATTTGGATGACTTGGAAGAGCTGGAGGAGGGAGATGTGGCCGAGGACGGGGCAGGGGCAGGGCAGGGAGCGGGTGCAGCGGCCGCGGCAGGGGCAGGGCCAGCAGCGGCGGCAGGAGGCGAGCAGGACGCCGACGCGCCGCCGCCGCCGCCGCCGCCGCCGCCCGCGCCCGCGCCGGCACCCGGCGGCGGTGACCAGGTGTCGGCGGCGCTGCGCAAGATCGCCTCCCACATCGCCCACCCCAAGAAGTTCGCCAAGGCCTCCCAGCTGCTGCGGGAGCTGCTGTCGCAGGTGGGCGGCCAGCGGGCGTAGCCGAGGCCTGGCAAGCTCGCTGCTCAGTCCCGCAGGCACACCCGCCACGCCTGCCCGCCCATCCACACGCTTCCGCAGCCTCCCTCGCATCCTTGTCCCTTGTCCCTATCTGCGCCGCAGGGCGCCGTCATGGCGCGCCACGGCCCGCTGCTCTTCTCCTGCCTGAAGACCGCGATGGCGGAGCCGGGGCGGGCGGCAGAGGCGCTGCTTGCTCGAGAGTACAGCAAGCTCTTCACAGCGGCATCCAAGGTGGCGGAGGCGAGTGGGGGGCGCCTGTGTGTATCTGGGTGGGTCTCTGCATGGTGGCGGGTGGGTGGCGGGGAGGGGCAGAGGGCCAGGCCCCTGTGGGAAGGCAGTCGAGCGCCCGCGTCCGCGGGTCGGCGGCGCTTTGGAAGCGTTTGCCGCCGCTCTGCTGCCCGCCACAGGCAGCGCCGCCCAGCTCGCTTGGCCGCGGGCCTCGCCCGTTGCCCCAGCAAAGACACACGCGTCCCACCACCCCACCCACACAGCACCGGCCGCCGCCCGCCATCCACCGCATACACCCACCGCATGCACCCACCGCATACACCCACCGCATACACCCACCGCATGTCGCCCGCCGCCTCCCGCGCGCAGGTGTTCAGCGTGCGGGAGAAGAACCAGCTGGAGGTGTTTGGCACGTGGGCGGTGCTGCGCAACCAGCTGGCCACCGACGATTCTTTCCAGTTCAACAAGGTGCGGCCTCTGGGTGCAGCCTCTGGGTGTGGCCTCTGGGTGCGGCGCCGGCATGTCTGTGTGTGGGTGGGTGGGGGGTGGGGGGGGTGATGTTGGTGTGGTGCGTGAGTGCGTGGGGGAGGCCCGAGTGCGGCTGGGGCAGCGTGTGTCAAGTGTGGCACATGAAGGCAGGCAGGCGGGCACCTGGCCGCCATCTCAATCCCTAAAATTCTAAACCAGACAACAAACGCGTGCAGGTGGTGGTGCGGCTCAAGGAGATGGCGGCGGAGCTTCCCGAGGCGTGCGAGGAGGATGAAGCCGTGGCCGAGCGCCTGGCGGCAGGCGCCTCTGCCCCCGACCCCGTCCTCGCAGCGTACGACCAGCGGCAGGCAGAGGCGGCAGCCCCCGCGGCCGCGCCAGCGGCAGCACCGACGCCGACGCCAGCCGCGGCGGCGCCGCCGCAGGAGGATGCGGAGGCGGATCCTTTCGGTTTGGATGCGCTGATGGAGCAGCAGGAGGCGGCCGAGGCGGCGGCGGCGGCGGCAGCTGCGGCGGCGGCTGCAGCAGCGGCGGCGGCGCGGCAGCCCAAGAGCCAGACGTGGAGCAGCGCGGAGGTGTTGTGCCAGCGGCGGGCGGCGCTCCTGGACTGCCTTGACTCCGCCAAGGCCTGCTACCGGTGCGTGTGGTGGGCGGCTACTGCAGGTGTATGTTGTGGGCGGCGCTCCCTCGCTTGGAGCTGGCCCCAGCGCCCCCACCCACCCACGTTCATGCACCCACTCGTCTTCACTGCACGCACCTATACTGCCCGCTGTGGCAGCCCACAGCACACGCGCACTGCCCCCACTGTACCGCAGGCACATGTGGGCCCGCACCTCGGTCGACCTCCTCATCCAGCACTGCCACCAGCACAAGGACAGGTGCGTGCCTGTGGCGTGAGGCCCCGGCGGCGGTGCCAGAGCAGCAGCAGCAGTAGCGGAGGCGGTATGCCACACCACCGCAACGTGCCTGCATCTGGCCGCAGCATCGGGCGCCTGCTCCCCCAGCCTGCAACCCCCTCCTGCCCCGCCTCCTGCCATCCCCACCTCCAGCCACTCACTGCCTGTTCCCTCCCTCCCTCCACGCCTCCGCGCCTGCCTGCCTGCCTGCCTGCCTGCCTGGCGCAGGTTCCTGCCCTCCCAGCGCGAGCGGCTGGAGGCGCTGATGGGTTTTGTGCGGGACCAGCGCCGCATCCGCAGGCTGGTGAGCGTGGGACCGGCTGCAGTACAGCTGCAGTACAGCTGCAGCGGGCGGGGCACCCGACGCAGCCTGTCCTGGACCGGTGCCGGCTGCCATCCAGGCTGCACGCGCTGGCGCACTGCCTGGCCTGCATCAGCGCACTACCTGCCTCTGTCTTGCCTAACCTCCTCACCCTCACCCACCCAAACGCGGCTCCCTGCCTCCCCGCTGCCTCCCCGCTGCCCCTGCCCTCCCGTGCACAGGGCCCCTCAGCCAAGGAAGTCAACCGCGACTCAACTTCCTTTGAGCGGGCCCGAGCGGAGTGGAGCAAGGCCGACGTCAGCCACCGCGGCAAGGTGCGGCCGCCCGGCCCTGCCAGGGCCTGTGCGGCCATGGTCTGCATCGCCAGCGGCTGGTGGCGGGGTGTTTTGTGTGGGAGGTGTGGGTGGGTGCTTGGGCAGGCCGCAGCGCAGGGCGGTGCGCGGAGGCGAGGGAGGGTCCTGCCCAGCCCTGCGTGTTCGTCCTTTGCCGCAGGTGGGCGGCGGCGACCGCGGCGCCGAGGCGTGGCTGGGGTGATGCCCTGGGCGCCCGGCGGGCGGCGCGGCGGCGGCGAGGGCGCGGCGCGACGTGTGGCCCGTCCCGCCGCCAGCGCAGTTGGTGGAGCTGTCCCTGGTTGTTTCGCAGCTCCCCTGTAATCTGTTGGCACCACGTTGTCTCTTCTGTGAGATGCTAGCAAGCAAGGTGGTCGCAACCTCGGCACCATTGGACGATGGCGGCGCCCAGGGTAGAACGGCCAGGGTAGAAAGGCCGAGATGCTCCGCCCCAAAGCTGCTCCGCCACACACGCTCCTACATTCTTGTTCTCGTAACCACACCCCCAACGAGGTCGCCCATTCAGCACCTCTTGAGGCGCTGCCAGCAGTCCAGCGGGCTGCTCCAGGAGTTTCCTGGTGCCAGCAGCCTTGGAATTGCTGAGCTTCAGGCAGCCCCTCACTGAGCTCTGCAGAGGCTGACAGGAGGCAGGCATGACAGGGCAGAGCGGGTACGAGGAGGAGGAGGAGCAGCAGGAAAAGCAGGAGGCCGGCCAGGAGCCGCAGCCTGGCGAGAGCAGCCAGGCAGGCGGCCAGCAGGAGCCGAGAAGCGGGGCGGCTGCCTGGCCAGAGGGAGCCGGCGCCACGCTGGCAGCGCCCGCGCCGCTGCGTACTGACAGCCCCCAGCTCCCCAGCGCCTTTCTGGCTCGATCCCTGGCACCAGCCAACAGCGCCAGCACCGCCAGCACCACCACCACCACCAGCAGCAGCCCGGAGAGCAGCCTGCGCTACTCTGCACGCCTGCCGCCGCTGCCCGAGCAGCGGCAGGCCAGCGGCGGCGGCCTGCCCGAGCCTCCCCCCGCGGCTGCCCCAGCCAGCCCCAGCCCGGGCGCTGGCGAGGGTGCCGGCAGCGGCCTGCCCGGCAGACCAGCCAGCGCGCCTGCTGCTGGCACCAGCCCGCCCGCGCCTCCCAGCAGCGGCACCCAACAGCAGGCGCCCATGCGGCTGCCGTCGGCGGCGCTGCTGAGCGGCGCCAGCAGCATCTCGATCGCAAGCCCCTTCATGCAGCAGCAGCTGTCCTCGGCGGTCGCCAGCGAGGGCAGCAGCCGCTGGGTCAGCGGGTTCGGCGCAGGCGGCCCGCCCAGCGGCGCGCCGCCGTCGGCGGGCGAGGCCGCCACCCCCAAGCTTGCCGCGAAGCTTCCAGCGGCGGAGCCAGGGCCGGCCAGGGAGGCTGCGGAAACCGTGCCGGGGCAGGCGGAGGAGCCGCGGGGCACCCAGGCAGACACGGGTGTCCTTGCAGCGCAGGCGCAGGCACAAACCGCTCCCGCGGGCGGCACACCAACATCCCCCAAGCACAGGCAGATTCACCATCACCACCACCACCGCCACCGTCTGTCTGCGGCACCCGCTGCCGCTGCAACTCCCTCCTCCCCAGAGGCTGGCAGCGGCAGCGGCGGCGTCACGCCTGGCAGCAAGAGCAGCAGCGTCAGCAGCAGCCGATCCGCCGCGCTGCCCGCTGCGCAGGGCGGGGCGGAGGCGCCGCTAGCAGCCTCTGCCGCCGCAAAGCCGCAGGCGGCCCCGGTGCCGGCAGTACAAGCCGCAGCGGCGCCACAGCTGCTGCCTGCACTGCAAGCGCCGGCGCAGCATGCCACTGCCACAGCGCCAGCCCAGCAGCAGCCCCATGCGCTGCCAGCACACCATGCGACCCTCCTGCCGACCGTACCGTCAGGCCTGGCCCCAACCACGCCCATGCCGGTGCCTGTACCTGCTGCGCCTGCTCAGCAGCAGGGCCAGCCTGTCTGGCCGCCGCCGCCGCCCGCTTTAGCCGCTGCTCACGCCCAGCCGCCGCTCACCACGCCGCAAGCCGGGCTGCCAGCCCCTGTGGGAGCGCCAGACCTGGCACTTCACCAGCTGCAGCTGCAGCATGCTGCCGCCCTGCAGCAGCAGCAGGAGCAGGCCACCGCCCTGGCTGCCTTTCAGCACCAGCAGCAGCAGACTGCCGCTGCCCTGGCGGCCCTGCAGCAGCAGCCGCTGGCACCTGCTGTCCCGGCGCCGCAAGTGCCTTTGCCCGCAGCTTCAGGGGTGCCGCCTGGCATGCACCCTGCAGCTGCTGCAGCCTTTGCCGCCGCCAATCCAGACACCCAGGCCGCCATCCTGGCTGCCCTGCACCAGCAGCAGGGCCAGCAGGCGGTCGCCATGGTGGCGGAGCAGCAGCGCAGCCTGTTTGCAGCCCAGCAACAGGAGCAGGCTGTCATGGCGGCCCAGCAGCAGCAGGCGCAGCGGGCGCTGCTGCACACGCAGCACCAGGCGTCCGCTGCCGCGATGGCGGCGGATGTGGGGCAGCAGCAGGCTCTGGCAAAGGGCCAGCAACAGGAGGCTGCGCTGCTGGCTGCGCAGCAGCAGCACCAGGCGCAGGCCCTGTTACAAGACCAGCAGGCAGCGGCGGCTGCCGCGGCGGCAGAGGAGCAGCAGCAGCTGCAGGCGGCGGCACAAGCCGCGGCTGCAGCTGCACAGCAGCCAGCGCTGCTGCTGGCGCCCGGGATGCCGTACCCCCAGCAGTGCATGCAACGCTACCCTCAGCAGTACGGACAGCAGTACCAGCAGCAGTACCACCACCCCTCAGCCGCCCTGCTGCCCCCCGCGCCTCACGCCGCCGCCGCGGGCGTGTGGCTGCCCCCTCTGCCGCATGCCCTGCAGTACCAGCAGCAGTACCAGCAGCAGTACCATGTGCTCTCCCAGGAGCCGGATCGGTACGAGCATCAGGATTCCGAGCGGCAGTCCTCGCAGGCCCTGTCCGGGTACAGCGAGCTGTCGCCAGCTGGCATGCCGATACCGCAGGCCCACCTGCCAGAGCGCCTGCTCCCCGCCGGGGAGCCTGCCCCGCGCCACAGCCCCGCCCACACCCACAGCAGCGCCGGCGAGCAGCTGGCTGGCGCCGCGGCCGGCCTGGCGGCGGCGAGGCCGCGCCAGCAGGCCGCGCCAGCCGCCATGGCTGCCGGAATCGCCAGCCAGTCTGCCTTTGCAGGCATGGCGGCGCAGCGGCTGGGCCCCTCGGGGCCGGGCGAGCGGCGGCACAGGGTGAGGGCAGCTTCTCGCCAGCTCTCCTGCCCAGCTCTGTTGCTGCCACTGCAGCGTCACACGCCCGCTGCTGGGCAGGCTCCATCGTGCCTACTCCTGCCCCTCGGCCCGGCCTGCCCTGCATTTGCAGGTGAAGGTGGTTGTGGCCAGCGGGGGCCGCTTCCGCCACCCCAGCGTCAGTACCAGGGGCGGTGCCGCGGCGGCAGCCGCCGCCACGGCTCCGGGCAGCTGGCGATACGAGGGAGGCGAGACGCGCCTGGTATGCGCTGCGCTGCACAATGATGCGCTGAACTGTGCTGTGCTCTGTCGAGCTATGTGTGTTGCTGCTGCTCGCTCGTTCCCCAATTCTGCCCGGCCGGCCACACACCCCCATCCTACGCTCACACACATTCACAAGCATGCCCTTGACCCCCGCTGCAGATATCCCTGCCTGACACCTGCACCCTGCCGGAGCTGCTGGCAGTGCTGCTCACCAAGCAGCAGCGTCGCACTGCGGCCGTCGGCCAGGGTCCATTGTCGCCAGGCGGCGGGCCGCGAGGCGCGGCCAGCGCCGCCTCCGCCGGCGGCGGCAGGGGCATCGCCATCCCTGGGGTTCACGGCGGCGCCGGCGCGCCTCTTTGGAGCCCCGGGGTGGGCCCGGGCATGGCTGCCGGCACACGGGGCAGCAGCGCAGAGGTGTCTGCCGGAGGGGCCGTCACCCCGCTGCCCAGCGTTGTCGAGACTGAACAGTCGAGTGTGCTGGCGAGCGCCGCAGACGTGGTGGCCGCCGCGGCGGGTAGCTCTGGGGGCGGCACGCAAAAGGTGCCTGATGGGTGGCTGGCTGCTGCTGCTTCATGCTGCTGAAGGCGTGCCTGTCCTGTAGTGCTGCCTGTAGTGCCGCCTGTGTACCAGTCGGCTGCGGCTCCAGCCCCAGGCTGGCGGCCCGCCTCGTGTCGGGCTTTGCGCAGTCTGTCTGTTTGCAATTCGACTTGAAGTTCTTACGCGAGCGTGTGTACCGCTCCCTTGTACTGCACATGTACCGCAGCTGTGCATCGTGCGGTACAAGCTGCCCTCCGAGCCCTCCTTCTTTGTGGATGTGCTGGACGACGAGGATGTGAGGTGAGGTGGGCGGTACTGTCATGATACTGCAGATTGTACTGCAGACGTGCTGCTGCGCAGGCCTGGCGGACCAGCTGGGCCGCAGCCGTGCTTTAGGGTTCCTGCCCGTCTCCTGGTGCCTTCCTCCCTTCGGAGGGCCAACACGCCGTGCTGCTGGGTGTACCGCAGGCTGATGTTTGAAGAGTATCACGACTGGTTGGAGGAAGGGGGTGGGCACCGCTTGCTGTACCGCTGTACTGCTTTCTGTTCCGCGCACTGCTGCTGGCGCTGCTGCCGTGGCAGGTGGTCCCGGCGCTCGCTCAAATCCACCCAGCCGTTGCCGGTGCATGCGTGGCGCCAACTGGTGGCATGTTCTCCGCCGCTCCCCTGCCCGCCACGCAGCGGCGGTGGAGGGCCTCGGCAGCCCCGCCGCCCGCAAGCTGCACATCTTTGTTGAGTGGCTGCAGCCGGCGCGCCAACGCGGCAGCGCACGGTCGGGTGAGTGTCGAGGGACCGGCGCCCGATGGGACTCTGCACGTGTCTGTTTGGGCTGTGGGCAGTTGTTTTGGCTGTCAAGCACGGGCCTCCGGGCGGAGCTGGGGGCGGTGTCCCGTGGGGATGTTGGGGGTGATCCTGGCTGGATGTGTGCTGCATGAAGCCCCATCCAATAGGAGTCCTGCCCCGTACTGCCGTACTGCCGCCTGGCGCAGAGGACTCCGACATCCGCCCGCCCGCGGCGCCGCCCGGCGTGCTCACCCCGTCTGACAGCAGCCTGGAGGAAGGGCCGGGGCGGTCCCCCGGGGCGCCGGCGCAGCTGGCGCCGGCGCCGCGGCTGTCGGACCTCAGGTGTGTGCGCATGTGCCCGCCTGCCCTTTCTGCCGGGCTGGCTGCCGACCGCAGTTTTATTGCTGCCTGGCAGCCGCCAGGTCCGGCTGCCTCCTGCTGCCTGCTTGCCGCCTGCCTGCCATCAAGGAAGAAAGCAGCTGCCTGCCTGCCTGCCCGCCCGCCTTCCTGCCCCGCTCAGGAGCAACAAGATCGAGGTCATCCCCTGCAGCGACGTCATGCTGACCGCGCTGCTGGGCAACGGGACCTTCGGTGGGGGTCGACGCCCCGCCATGCTCAGCGTGCCTGCCTGCCTGCCTGCTTGGGCTGTACTGCAGGGAACTAGTGCCTGAGCAGCGCCATGCGTCCAGCGTCCATGTGTGGCGGGCTGGCACAGCAGCCGAGGCTTGGCGGAGCCCAAACCTGCTGCTGCACTCACTGTGGCTGCCGGCGCCCTGCCGCCATCCTGCAGGCTCCACGTACCGCGGGCGTTGGCACGAGTCGGATGTAAAGGTAAAGGTGGGGAAGAGCCTCCACAAGCTTCACTTCCCGGTTTTAACGTCTAGCTTTAGACCATTATTTGATCTGCCCGACGCGCCAAGTGCAGTACCCCCCACTAGTAGTGAATGGGTCCCGGGGAGGCCTGTGCCGAAGCCTTGGCGATTCTATTAGGCGTTCCCGAAGGAATTGGCTTGGATTGGCGCTGAGCCGGTCAGCTATGCCGCGTTTGTCCTCACAAAGTTTCGACATGGGAGGAATCGAACCTGTGCCCTCTCGGAGGGTTTAGACACTAGCTCCAGCGCCTTCAAAGAAGGCCTTTCTTAGCCGCGGCCTAAAAGGTAAAGGTGGGGAAAGGTAAAGGTGGGGAAGAGCCTCCACAGGCTTAACTTCCCGGTTTTAACGTCTAGCTTTAGACCATTATTTGATCTGCCCGACGCGCCAAGTGCAGTACCCCCCACTAGTAGTGAATGGGTCCCGGGGAGGCCTGTGCCGAAGCCTTGGCGATTCTAATAGGCGTTCCCGAAGGAATTGGCTTGGATTGGCGCTGAGCCGGTCAGCTATGCCGCGTTTGTCCTCACAAAGTTTCGACATGGGAGGAATCGAACCTGTGCCCTCTCGGAGGGTTTAGACACTAGCTCCAGCGCCTTCAAAGAAGGCCTTTCTTAGCCGCGAGGATGTCGCGGTGGGTGCAAAGGCCTTGTCACACAGAGCTCGCTGGCCGGCGCACCAGTGCTGCTCCGCCCTGCGCCGCTCTGCCGCCGCTCACATGCCGGATTCTGTGCTTGTATTGAAGTGTGCGCTGCCCTGCTGCTTCCTGCAGGTCAAGTGCATGAATCCGCTCATGGTGGGTCCACTGTGTGCCGTGCTGAGCTGCAGCCGAGGCAGGGACCCCGGGAGCACCTTCACCCCACCTGCCGCCAGGTTGCTGATGCCCTGCCTGCCTGCCTGCACCTCCCTGCATCCCCTGTACCGCCTGTACTGCAGATCGGGGTGCAGTACGCGTCCCGCCAGGCCTGGGTGGACTTCCTTCGTGACGCCAACGCCATGGGCAAGCTGAGGCACCCAAACCTTGGGGAGGTGTGTGTGGGGGGTGTGCGGCTGCCTGCCTGCATGGCTGGCTGGGCGGCGCATGAGGAAAGGATGGAAACAACATCATGTGCATGGTGCGGCGGCAGCGAAGCACACACCACATGCGCTTGGCTGAGCCAGCACTGCACTGCGTGGCACGACAGGGGAGGTGTGCACGTATGGGAGGCGAAGCGGCGCTGGCTGGCACGGCGCGTACCTTTCCAGCCTCCAACTGTCCCCGCAGGTGTATGGCGTCATCCTGCCCCATGATTCCGACCCCCGGCTCGCCGCGCCTCGCTCCCGCTCCGAGCCCGCCGTCGCCATGGCCGGCGCCGCGGCGGCGGCCGCCGCGGGAGCCACGCCGGCGCCTGGGCAGCCTCCGGGGCTGCCGCCGGGGCTGCCGCGGCCTGTCCACCCGCCGGGGCTGCCGCGACCCCGGCAGCAGATGAAGCCGGCGCAGGACGGCGCCGCGCAGCCGGCTGCGGCTGGCAGCTCCTTTCCACAGCCGCAGGCCTCCCCCACCTCCCCGGGCTCCCCGCAGCGCCAGTCCACGCTGCCCGTGGAGGCGGAGGTGGTGCTGCATCAGGAGCTGCCCGCGCCGGTGGCCAACCCTCCCGCCATCGTGATGGAGTATGTGTCTGGGAGGTCTCTGGGGTGAGCTGGGCGGCTGGGGTGGCTGGCTGGCTGGGTGGGGTGGGGTAGGAAGCTGGGCGGGTGGTCGAGGATGAGGGGATGGCTGGCTGGGGCTGAGGGTTTGGTCCCAGAAGCGGTAGCGGCCAGCATGCGCTGCCTGCACCGTGGGCCGGCTCGCCCAGGCCCCAGGGCCTGCTCAGCAGCAGGCTGCACCGCGCCTCCCCGCCTGCGCTTGCGCCGCAGCGCCGCCACCGACGCCCACAGCGACCTGGTGGCCAGCCGCCTGGCACGGGTGGTGTACGCGCTCGACACAGCCAAGGTGTGTGTGTGTGGTGGTGGTGCCTTGCCTGGGCAGGCGTGTGTGAGGGGTGGCAGCAGCAGCGATGGTGGTTGTGGTGGTGGTGGTGGTGGCATTTTGCTGCCCGCTCGGCTGCCGGACATCGTTCTGCCATGCACACACCGCTGCCGCCGCCGCCGCCGCCGCTCCCGCGTGCGCAGGCCCTGAGCTACCTCCACTCCCGCCGGGTGGCGCACCTGGACCTGAAGAGCGGGTGAGCCGCGGTACCATAGTACGTGCAGTACATGCAGTACATGTGTAACATGCAGTACATGCGGTCCAGCGATGACGCCTCAGCGATGCGAGTGGCGGCCTGGGCCGCGCACAGCACATGTGCCCGCCGCCCCATCCCGCCACACCCGACACCCCTCCACAAACCTGCCTGCTGGCGCAGGAACGTGCTGCTGGGGTGGCGCGACCGGCGGCCCACGGCCAAGGTGGTGGGGTATGGGCTGGCGGGGCGCAAGGTGAGGGTTGCCCTGGCCGCCCCGGCTGCCGCTTCGACACGTGCGGTTCAAGAATCGATTGCGGCTGGCTTGCGGAGCACGAGTCTGGGGCTGCTGGCAGCTGTTGCACCCGCCACTTTGCTCGCTCAGGCTGCTGCCAGGCCACCTGGCAAGACCACCGCTGGTCTTCTCAATGGCTGCTCTCCTCCCCCTCTGCAGGTGTCCATGGTTCTGGGCGCGGCGCAGGGCGTGACCAGCAGCGGCGGCATGCTGCCCTGGGTGGCGCCAGAGGTGCTGCGCACGCCTGAGCTGGCCACCGGCAAGGTGAGGGCGGCAGGGATGGGAACAGCAGGTCCTTCCCTCTCTCTCCCTCAATACAGCCCCTTCCTTTTGGCGCTGGCAACCTGGTGGCTGCCCCCTGGTGGCTGCTGCGGGTCGCGACGCACCGGCGTGCGGTGGTGTCCGCTCGGCTTCCGGGCGTCATCCCTCCCTCCCATCCTTTCCTCCCCTCCCATGCTTTCCTCCCTGCCCCTCCATGCAGGCCGATGTCTACTCCTTTGCGCTCATCATGTGGGAGCTGTGGACGCTGAGGAAGGTGAGCGGTACAGCAGTACCACAGCTCGGCAGCACAGCAGCACAGCGGCTCAACGACCCAAACAACAGCCTGTCACCAAGATACCTTGTCAACATGATGCCAGACCCTTGTCATGGCCTGACAAGCTGTTGACATGCATCCAGAAGAAAGGGGAGAGCAGGCGGTCAGCTCGAGACAGCGCTCGCCGGCTCAAGCAACAGCCCCGCCCCCACGCCCCTGCTTCCCTGCAGCCCTACCATGGATGGGACTCGCTGCAACTGCTGGCTCGTGTGCAGCAGGGTGAGGCTGGGAGCCGGGGCACGGCAGCACCCCTGGCCTGCGCTGGCTGCGGAGGGAGCCTAGGGGGTGGTTCGAGCGTTGCACGGTGGGGCAGCAGGCTCCCAAACCCGCCGCCGCCTGCCAGCCCCGCAGGCGAGGTGGTGCGCCCGCCGCTGCCGGGGACGGATGAAGAGCCGGAGGCCGAGGCGCCGGGTGCGGCTGCCGCCTGCCTGCCTTCCCTGCTTTCTTCCCCGTTCCCTGCTTTCTTCCTGGGCCAGGCGGGCACACACGCTGGCAGGGTATTGAAGCCTGAGGCGGCCTGCTGCTGCTGCCCGCTGCCGCATCGAACCTGCCCTCCAGCCATGCGCCGCCGCCACCGAGCCTCTCCTCCCCTGCTCCCCGCCACTCCCCTGCTCCCCTCCACCCCCCTGCTCCCCTGCACCCCTCCACCCCTCCACGCCGTGCAGGCCCCGGCTGGCGGGAGCTGCTGGAGCGGTGCTGGGCCGAGGACCCCGAGCAGCGGCCAGACTTCAGGTGCCGAGCTGGGGCTGAGCTGGGGCTGTTTGCTGGCGCTGAGCTGGCGCTGGTGCTGAGCTCTTGCCCGCCCTGGCGGCCTGGGCCAGCTGCCTTTCTTAACACAGCCCAATGGCGTCCCAAAGGATGTTCGTTCTCTTTCCTCCGTGTCCTCCTGCCTGCCCGCAACAGCCTTCCTTTGCTGCGTGCTGCCCTGGGCTGCCTGCAGCGTGATTGAGGAGGAGCTGAGGGGCATCGCCCGGGAGGTGAAGCGGCAGCAGGCGCCGCGGCGCCCCGCCATCCCGCTGCCCCGCGCCGCCTCGCGCCCCGCGCTGGCCGCCGCTGCCAGGCGCCAGACCAGCGGCGCCAACGGCGGCAGCGGCGCGGGGGCGGCGCTGCGCAGGCAGGGAAGCTACGGCCTCGCCGCGGCGCTGCGCAGGCAGGGGAGCAGCGCCGGTGCCGCTGCGCCGGTGCCGCGGCAGCCGAGCACCAGCTCCTTCCCGCTGCAGCGGCAGGCGAGCGCCCCGGAAGAGGCAGCTGGCGAGCAGCTGCCGGCGGTCCTGGCGGGCCCGGCACCTGCCGAGGCTGCTGAGCACGAGGAAGAGGAGGAGGAGTCTGAGGCAGAGGCAGCTGGGACCGCCGACGGCGGCGCAGCCGGCCAGCCGGTGCGGCCTGTGGGCAGCCAGGGAGCAGCGGGGGAGGACGGGGATGGCTCGGCAGGCGCCGAGACGAGCATCGCGGAGCGCAGTGCTGCTGCTGCTCAGGGATAGGGCCGGCGGGGCAAGGCATGCGGGAGTCCCCGGCGGGTGACAGCGACTGTTCTGCTCTCTCAGTTCAAGTTTGTAGCATGTTGCAGCATTCAGCAATCAACTTGGGATGCGAGGAGCTGTCGGCGGCAATGGCACCGGCTGAGTTGTTGAGATGAAGGGTCAGGCATGACTCCGCCTCCCCTCCTCCCCCTGCTGGTGGCCGTGCAGCGGCTCACCGCCGCCGGCTGCCCCGCCCGCCCCGGCTGCCCCGCGGCCGCCTGCCGGCGCCGCCGCCAGAGGGCGCGCCGGCGCCGCTGCCGCTGCCGGCGCCGCCGAGGCCGCCACCCGGCTCCTCCTCCTCCTCCCGCCGCCGGCTGCCCCGCCCGCCCCGGCTGCCCCGCCGCCGCCTGCCGGCGCCGCCGCCAGAGGGCGCGCCGCCGCCGCCGCCGCCGCCATTGCCGCCGCCGCCGCCGCCGCCATTGCCGCCGCCGCCGCCGCCTGCCTCCTCCTCCTCCTCCCGCCGCCGCATGATCTCTTCAAACCTGGCGTTCATGCGCTGCACCGCCGCAATCTCAGCCAGCTCCTCTGCGGTGGCTGGCCGGGGAGCGGCATCCGGCACCGGCGTGCGGCACAGAGGGCAGGTCGACTTGCGGGACAGCCAAATGCGGATGCAGTCTGCGATGGGGGTGGTGGGTTGGTTGGGGAGGGAATCGACGCGTGTGCGGTCAGGGCAGAGGGGCAGGGAGGCAGGGCGGGCGGCAAGGGCCTGTCGGGTGGGGCAATGCGGGCCTGCCAACCGCCGGCACAGGCAGGCAGGCACGCGCCAGCAGTCCACGCCTCTGCCCCTCCCTGCTGCTGCTGCTGCTGCTGCTGGGCGGGCCTCGCTCCCTGGCTTGCCTGGGTGGTACAGGTGGCGGCAGCCGGGCAGGCCCTGCACCGGGCTGGTCAGCGGCCTTGCGCAGATGGAGCAGCCCTCGTCCTCCCCCCGCCATCCCCGCCGCCGCCGCCGCCCAGCGGGCGCTGCCAGCGTGGCAGGGCCTCCAGCACGGCGGGCGGCGCGGGGGCGTTGGGGTCTGCGGGCCGCGGGCCGTGCAAGCCCAGGGCGAACGCCGGGGACCCTTCTGGCGCAGTCAGCACATAGAAGCGTATCTCGCGGTGCAGGCTGGCCACCGCGTCTGGCGCCCCAAACAGCAGCTCCAGATTCTCGGGGGTATCCAGCCCCGCCCGTACCAGAGGGGACACCACCGCCATGAGGCCGGGGAAGCGGTGCGGGCCGTGGTGCCGCATCGGCCAGGTGAATCCGCGCAGGTCGAGGCCCGCGCGCGCCGCCAGCGCGGCCACCTCGGGCCGCTCCTTGGCTTGCGCCAGGTGGCGGATGGGCGCCATGGCATCGACGACGGCAGGTACGTCCTGCAAGCTCCCGGGGAGGGTGACCGCGTCGGGGTCGGGGCTGGAGCTGCCGGGGGGGGAGGCCGGCGGGGCTGGGGCGGAGGATGGCGGGTCGGGAGCGGGAGGGGCGGCGCCGCGTCTGGGCGCCCGCCAGGGAGCCATGCTGGGCTGGCTGCTTGCCGCGTCTCGTGCAGGCCAGCCGCCTGCGGGGGCAGAAGCGTGCGCAATGCGCAGGCTGGGGTTGGTTGGCAGCGATGAAAGCGGGCCAGGCATGAAGGCAAATGCAACGCGGGGGAGGCGGCGCCGCTCCACCAGCAGCTGGCTGGGCTCTGCAACAGGACGCGGCGTGCGGCCGGTGTGTTCCCGCAATGACGGGCTCACTTGTTCGCCTCGCGTGGCCACGGAGAGTCCCTGACAAGCGCAACAAGGATTTCTGTATCTGAACAGTAGGGGCGCTCCGCGGGCGTGTGAATATCGCCCCAGGCTTGTGGATGTGAAAGAGAGAGAGGGAGACGCATGCGCAGGTGTTGACATCAGGGCCCCGGCCTTGCGACCGCCCGCTGCGCCACGCTGTGGTGCAGTCGCCGCACCGTCGCCGTCTGAGCACTGGGAATGAAGCGGTTAGCCATCAAGCCCCCCAACTGCACATAAAACATCTCTTGACTTGCTCTGGAGAGAGTGGGGCGAACAGAGATGGCTGTGGCTTGCTGCGCCTGGCGGGGCTGCGGCGGCAGGTGCGTGCGTGCGCAGCTTGCCGTGCGCTTCAGGTGCTGCTGTAGTGAGAAATGGCGGGGCTTTGAATCTCTCCCGCTTATCCTGGATCATCTGGGGCCTACTTGTGATTCCAGCATGCTGTGCCGTTGCAACATGCTATGGCCAGCATGGCTGAGGGCAGCACTTGCCGCTGGTCCGCCGCGGCCCCGCTGAGCCGCCCATGCGCTCCAATGAAACCCCAAGGACGCTGGCGTCACGATGGCGGGCTCACACTCAATCACTGGCTGGCCGTAGCCCCAGTGCAACCGAATCGGGGCAGATCATGCTGAGACCGTGCTGCGGGCTTGAACTTCGAGGGAGAATCCATATAACGGCCTTTGCGACGCCGTTCATTGCTTGTTTCTGACACCAGAGACCACCACAAGGGTCTCCCCAACTCAGCTGTCTGCCCAAGCGACTCACGCGCTCCCCAAGGCCATGGCCCACGCGCAACCAGCAACCAGCCTGCATGCGGCCTCCAGCCGGGCTCGTGGGCTCCCCGCAGCGTTTGGGGCCGGCTGCAAGTCGGGCGGGGAAGGGTCCACCGCCGCCAGGCGTCGGCTGGCTGCCCGCCGCTTCCGCCCACTGGCTGCCAGTGTGACAGAGTGAGTTCCAATGTGTGACAGAGTGCTGGGCTGCCGCGCAGGTAGCAGCGGGTTGCTTACAGCCTGCAAACTCTACCTGTGTCAGAGAGCCACTTGAAGCAGGGCGCTCTCTGGTCGACCCCCCTTGGCCGCCGCTCGAGCTCGTGCACACGCCTACCGCCCCTCCCCGCCCGCAGGCACTTTGGCGTGGAGGACTGGCCCGCGGTGCAGCAGTTGCTGGCCGCCGCGGGAGGCGACCACCTGGCCCGCCTGCGGGCGGTACTGGCGGTACGCCCCGACCTCGTGGCAGCCCGCACCTGGGCGCCCGCCTCCCCAGATGACGTCGCCAGCGGCTACTCTGCCCTGCACTTTGCGGCTGCCGGCGACAACGTCGAGTGCCTAGCGGCGCTGCTGGCAGCCGGGGCCGACGTGCGCGCGCGCGATGACCGCGGCGCCACCGCGCTGCACTGGTGCGCAGCAGCGGTGGCCTCCCTTGACCACGAGGGCAGCTGCGGTTTGTGCCTGCGCGCGCTGATTGCGGCGGGCGCCGACGTGGACGCGCGCGACGAGGACGGCGAGACGGCGCTGCACTGCGCCGCACGCCTGGGCAACCTGGCCGCCATCCGGTGCCTGGCGGAGGCGGGGGCCTACCTGGGGGCCGCCAACCTGGAGGGAGAGAGCCCGCAGATCGTGGCCCGCAACCATTGCAAGTGGGAGGCTGCGGTGCTGCTGGGGCAGCTGCAGGCGGAGCTGGATGGAGCGCTGGTGCAGGAAGGTGCGACCGGCGCATGCATCTGCTTTGTTGTCCTGCCGCTGTTGGGTGTCCCTTGCTGGCCAGCAGGGCAGCAGCAACTGGCGTTTGTGTGCATGGCTTCACCACCGCCCCGTCCGCCGCCCACTTGCAGGTGCCCCAGAGGCGGAGTGTGTGGGCGGCGTGTGGCTGAGGTACACCCGCCGCGAGGCGGTACAGCCTCCTCCCAGCCCGAGCGGCCCGCTGGATACCTGAGCCCCCGCTGCTGTATGGCCCTTGCGGCATGCCCTCTGCTTTGTATTCACAACATAAGTGAGCATTCTTGTTTCTGTCCAGATTCCATCAGATACCTACTGCTGTACCCCTGCACCCTGCATTTTTTCATGCCGCCACGATACTAGCCTGCAACGAACGAGTCCTTGCTGAGAGCTGCTGGCCCCACAAATGTGGCTGCACTCCTTCCTGTTCCTGTTGTTTGGTACTATCCCTGCTCCACGCTGCTAATCTTCGCCCTGATACTACCCTGCAACGAGTGCAACGCACGATCCCATATGATGAGAGCTGGCCTCTACCCTATGATACTATCCTCCTACATGTGGCATTAATTAATGACGATGCTGTACTAGAGGACCCTGCGCCTCCCCATTTTGATTTGTTTCTCTCCCTGTCCGTTGCCGTCGTGGCCTTTTGGCAGCGTTTGGCCGGTGCGCTCCACACGGGTGCTTGCCCCAGCCCTCGTATGTACCATCCGGACTGTAGCTAATGTGTTGTTGTTGGCCTGGCCTGGCCTGGGAAGAGCAGCACCGGGCACTATGGGAGGAGCAGCCCGAGTTGTTTTTGCAAGGACGATCGGCGGCGGCAGGCGGCGGGGGTTGCGGCAGCATCAGTTGGGCTGCGGCGTGCGGGCCCCAAAGCCCTAATTTATCCCTCGAACTGGATGCAAATATCACCCACGCGATGCCAAGAGGAGGCCGGTCAGCAAGCAGCTGCTGCAGAGAGGGGCCCCTCTCTGACAAATCCTTGCATGAGGTCCCACGCGATCTGTTGCTGCTGAATCTTTGCTGCCGACGCACCCTCACTTTCACCGAGCACAGAGTCGCTGCCGCAGCGCCCAGAAGGCTGGTGCAAATGACTGGTCTGCAATTTGCCGCCGTCAGCCTTCACGGCCTCCCAGGCCGCAGCAGCAGCCCCGGTGGAGCGCTGGCAGCCAGGGTTTGCGAACGGTCTGGTTGGCAGGCGGCCGGACGGCATGGTGCTGCTGCCGCCGCCGCCGGCCGCCGCCGCCCTCGCCCAGGGCAAGCCCCCCGCCGGCTCGGCCGCCTGGCTGCTGGCGTCACAGAGTGAGCCTCACCCCAGATCGCCACCCAGCTGCATGTGCCGGTCAATCTGTCGCACGCCGCAGGCGCCGCCGCCGCCGCCCGCCCTGGTGCTTCCCGGCGCGCCAGCCCCTCGCGCATCCTCACCCACCCCCCGCTCTTGCTCACGTGTCGCCCACTGGCCCCCCTGCCCCTGCGCCCCACCCCTGCACGCCACCTTGCAGCGAGTTCCCCGTAGACGAGTGGTCTGAGGAGGCGCAGCTGATAGCGGCTGCCAGCGCGGGGGACCTGCGGCGCCTGCGCGCGGTGCTGGCGTCGCGCCCAGAGCTTGTGGACGCACGCACCGCGCTGCCCTGCTCCGTGGCCAGCGGCTACTCTGCCCTGCACTTTGCCGCCTTCAACGGCCACATGGCCTGCGTGCGGGCGCTGCTGGCTGCCGGCGCCGACGTGCGCGCGCGCGACGACCGCGGCGCCACCGCGCTGCACTGGGCGGCGGGCGCGGCGGGCGCGCTGGCGCGGGAGCGCGGCGGCGAGCCGTGCCTGCGCCAGCTGGTGGGCGCGGGCGCCGACGTGGACGCGCGCGACGAGGACGGCGAGACGGCGCTGCACTGCGCCGCACGCCTGGGCAACCTGGTCGCCATCCGGTGCCTGGCGGAGGCGGGGGCCTACCTGGGGGCCGCCAACCTGGAGGGGGTGACCCCCCGCATCCTGGCCCGCAACTGCTGCAAGTATGAGGCCGCGGAGCTGCTGGGGCAGCTGCAGGCGGAGCTGGAGGCACAGATGGGGCACCAGGGGCCGGGCCTGCTGCCAGGCGCGGCGCAGCAGAGCCAGGCGGTCGATGCGGAGCAGCAGTGGGCTGCGGGCCTCTTTGGGCCGGAGCTCGTCGGCGCCGCCGTCAGGTGAGCGGAGCGCCCTGCCCCTGCTGCCACCGCTGCCTGCCGCTGCTGCCGCTGCGTCAGTCTCCCCCGCGCTCGGCCGCTCCATGCTGCCGGGCAGAGCCCTGCCGGTGCCAGAACTGCCGCCAGCGGCAGCTGTGCTGAGCGCTGGGCGCGGGGGTGGCGTGCCTGCAGGGTGTGGTGGGCCGAGCGAGAGGAGTTCATGCTGGGGCACGTCACCAGCTGCGCCATGCCAGACAGGTGGGAGAGCGGCAGCGGGGCGGCGGCAGGGGGGCGTGGGACGCTTGCTGGGCGGGGCGCCGGGGCGGCGCGCCGGTGGCTGGCTGCGCCCCTGGCCGCCGCTCAGGCTCAGCCTGGCTGCGCCTGCGTGCCCCTGAGCGCTGCCCAACCATCCAACACACTCTCACTGACACTGACGCCGCGCCGCAAATTCACCGCAGGGTGCACACCGTGCGCTTTGATGCCGCCGACCTGTGCATGCGCTGGCAGCGCGTGCGCCTGCAGCACGTGAGGCGCAGCCCGGCTGCGCGGCACCCTGTGCCAGCCTGCCCTGTCACGCTGGCTGCTGGTCACAGTCAGCTTGCCCCGCCCCTGCTGAGCATCGGCGCTGCCGTTGCAGCCGCCTGTGGCTCCACCCAGCCACCCCGTGCGTGTCTGCTGGCCTCGCGCGCCGCCCCTCACCCCTCCCTCATCCCGCCCTGCCCACCTGTGTTCCCCCCTGCCTCCCTGCAGGAACTTGTGGAGGTGCAGCGCCCTGACGGCAGCTGGGCCCGCTTCATCCCCGCCCAGCTGCAGCGGCAGGGCTCCGCTTTCGACCAGTGAAGCTGAACTGGCACGGCATGCATGTCGCATGCGAGGGGAGGAAAGCACACAGCACCTACCCCTCGCTCGACCAGAGCTTATGAGCTGTATCGGGGTGCTGCCGCACCAGCAAGTTCCTCTCTTGCCATGTTAACTATTAGATGTGTCAATCAGATTCGAGCCATGCCGCCCCATTCAATATGATCTCTTGATTGCGCTGGCCGCCCCACCTGGCCTGCCCCTACCTGGGCGCCAATACTACGCTGCTGCCACCCGTCACCGCCTACATTGTGCCAGCACTGCCGCCACCTTCTGTTGTCGATACTATGCCCAGCCTGGGCCTCATGCCTGCCCTTGAACAACCCATCCAATGCGTTCAAACGACTGATGCGATCTATCACTCTCTCTCCCAGAGATATCCCATTCCCCAATCTAATGCCCCGCCCAATTCCAGTCCTGATGTCTACTCTTTTGAGCTGTTTTAACAGGAATACACACGCACACACGGTATGGCTGGTCTCACATAGGGTTGTCTGGGGCAGGGGCCCACAGTACACACGGGGACAGCACACACACATTTGAGCAGGCAGGCGGGGCAGCGTCTGGGCAGCTGCGGGTTGGGATGGCGCGCTGCCAACAGGCATGGAGTAGCCATCAGCAAATCAGCTGGGGGTTGCGAGAGGGGGTGAGGGGAGCAGCTGGCAGCAGCAGCAGCGGGGAACGAGGAACTCAGAAGAGAAGAAGGAGGGAGACAGTGAGGGGGAGGGCAAAATATTGACTCTGATTTGCAGTGACGGGAGACGGCAGAGAGGGGGAGGGCCTCCCGCAGGAGCAGCAAGCGCATCTGGAGCGCTGCATGGCGGCAGGCAGGCAGCGCCAGCCAGCCAGCCAGGCGCCAGAGCGTGCTGCGGCTTGGGTGTGGGGGCGGGAGGCCCTGCCCGGGCAACGCGAGCGGCGGGCAGGCCGGTAAAACGCCGGAGGAGGCGGCGCCGGCTGCCGGCGCAGGCTGATGGTACAAGGAGGGGAGGCGGCTGCCCGGGAAAGGGGCGGCACGCAGCGCCGGGCGCGGGAAAAAGGAAAGGAGGGGCGCAGTCAATCGATGTGGAGGGCGCAGAGGCGCCGGGGCAGACGAGCAGGCAACGGCACACGAGCGCCGGGTGGGTGGGGGGACTTGGCATCAAGTGCACACTCTCTCCTCGACCAAAACGGGGGTTGGGCGCCAGAGGCGAAGGGCGCCAGCGGCAACAGACAGGCCTGGCCGCGCCAGGCGCCGGGCGCAGCCGCTTGCTGGCCCGCTGCGGCTGCCGTTCGTCCAGAGGCACGCCGGCGGGGCGGGGGTCCAGGTGGTCCGGCCCGGCCCTGGTAGCGCGGGCAGCCAGCGGGGCTGCGGCCGCGGCCGCGGCTAGATGCGCATCCGCCGCTGCTGCTCGGGCAGCGCGCAGCCCGTGGCCCAGGACGCCACGCTCTCTATGCAGCTCAGCTCCTCGCACAGCGAGTGCAGCGAGGAGGGGCGGCCTGCGGGGGCACAGGGTGGAGGGGAGGGGAGGGGAGGGCGGGCAGGGTGAGGGCTGTACCAGGTCCCGCATGCACGTGTGCACACGTGAAGAGGATGCACGGGCGGTGGGCGGTGGGCATGTGCGTGCATGGCAGGCGCAACCCACAACCTCCTCATCCCCAAACCCTCAGCTTCAGCGCATCCCCCCGGCCAGCCCCGCCCCGCCCCAGCCCCACCCACCCTCCAGCTCGTACTCCATCACAAACAGGCCGGCCTCAGGGTCCGCGCTGCCGCTGTAGGCCTGCAGCAAGGGGATGGTGTATGTGTGTGTGTGTGAGTGTGTGGTTGTGGGTTGCGGCATCATTGTGAGTGTGTGTGTGTGTTCGATGCAGGGTGTACGTGAGGCAGGGCGGACCCACTGAGAGCCCCCACCCCCGTTCGCTCGTTCGTGTGTGTGTTTGCTCGGCTGCCGTGCCCACCAGCCAGCCCTGCCAGCGCCCCCCCAGAAGCCCGGCGCCGCCAGTAGCGTGGGTCGCTCCGCTCCCCGCCCGCTCTCCCAGCCCCCCCGCACCAGACGCGAGCACGCCCACCTCCCCCCCACCCACCCCACCAGACCGCAGCCCCCGCCCCTCACCGTGATG